TTTTCTAGGCCACAGCTCAGTGACAGAAGGTTGTCAGCTTGATAGTGGCCATGGCGGGGCTATTTATAAAATGAAACCTGATGAACCCAGCAAATCAGAGATTTTTTTTCAGTTTAGAAGGCTATTTAAAACATTTATCAATACTCCACTTAGAAAAAAACACAAGATCAGCTGGCATGCTAATTGAAATTGAAATTTAATGGCCAAACATAATAATTTTACTAAACAATGATTGTGTTCTCTTTGAGGTAAACTGTGTTTTGAGTGAAAAGTTATCCTAACAATTTTGTTCATGTTCTATGTGAGAACAAGGGTCTGCAGCTTCTCAGAATGTCAGCTTATCCAAGCCACCGGCACATTGAAGACGTTCTCCATTTCTGGAGAAGCTAACTCTTCAGTAAAGCCTGCAGTTCACTCAGAGATGCTTGGGCTAGTCCTGTTTAATGCGTGATTTGAATTGTTTTATCATTTCTAGAGTCAGCACAGACTACTAATAGATGACATAAACCCTGACAGCTTTATTGAGTGTCATTACAGCTGGCTTTTTCACTCTGTTAATCTCACTCATCTCTGACTTCCTATGTAATAACTGGAAAAGACATTAAGGATGACATGTTTATGTGTGTTGACACAGTTGATCAATCCATCCGACTCTGGGCAATGCTGACTAAGGGATACTAGGTCAATAACTTCAAGTCTAGTAACTGGAGTAGGAGGGAACTTCTAACTGGGGCTCTGATTTTTATAATCTTAAATGGCCCCTATATCACAAACAGATGTGGCAGGAATTTTGGTTTAATCATGTGAGAATAGCTCATAGCATTTCTCATACTTCACTCAGTTAATAAAATTATATGGGACTATAGTTTCAAACATTAGTTGCCATTGAAAAAGAAATATAGACAGAAAGAAAAGTGAGAGAGCGAAAGGAAGGAAGGTAGGAAGGCAGAATAGAAGGGATGGAGGGATGGAGAGGGGAGAGGGGAAGCAAGAGAATTAATTCCAATTCCTAGTAATAAGAGCTAAGTAGACTGGAGAGTAGCTGAGAGGTCAGGAGCTATTTCAAGGGACTCAGGTTTAGTTCCAGGCACCCACAAGATGTTTCACAACCATCTGAAACTCTTCTAACTTCTGTGGGCACCAGGTATACATGTGGTACACAGACATACACGCATAAAAATGCTCATACACGTAAACTCTATCTAATATAAAATAAAAACAATATCTGTCAAAAAAAAGGTTTAATGGTAAGACCTAAGGATTGTGATGTGCCTACACAATGCTAGGTTCTATGCTACACCACTTACGTCCAATTGACGTTCCTAGTAGAGTTATAGATTATGTGACTGTATTTCCAACCTCATTTTGCTAATCAGAGCCTTGTGTAGAGAAGAAGTGAGAGTCTGGAGTCCTTCAGCTATGTATAATTAGTGTGAGAACTGGGTTCCAACTACAGACAGCCTAACGGGAACTCATGCTCTTCCACAAAACAGCAAACTACTGAACTCAAATAAACCCTAGTTTCTCTGGGACAGTCATCTATCTTCACACACCAGCTCTTCATTTTCTTCAAATGATACACTAGAATAAAAGAAGTGTGAGGATGCCTAAGGTGTGCAGAGCTAACTTGTCCTTTAAAAAACATGTCATCATCATTATTACTATTATTATTTATCATTAGTATTATTATTATGAGATCAAAACTACAAATGGAAGGGGAAGGACATGCCCATATTTTATTGAGAACGTTGAAATGCAATTTCAGTAATACCAAAACATTTAAGAGCTCATGTTTGGAATGCCCATGTATTGAGTGTTTAATCCACCAATAATTTAGCAAACCTAATTTGGTAGCAAACTTTTTCTGACAGAGTTATTTGGCCCCACCGGCTTAGACCAAAGTTCAATGTGGAGCAGATGCTGAGACCTCCAGCAGCTATAAATTTTCAGCAGGTGCATGGCTTGCTGCTTCATTGGAGTTTAACACAAACTTTATGTCTCAGCTTATGTAAGAGTTTGTTCATTAGTTCTGTCTTGCTAACTGAATGAACACAGAGCCACTCATGTGCAGAATCACATCTGTTGGTAAATAAGTGAGCTGTTTGATCAGCCTCATGCATATTGATAAAAGTGAGGATGCATATGAAGACCTGCCCTCAGACCCTCACATGACCAGGAATGACTGCATATGCAATACTGGCATTTGCTGCCAGAGGGAAAATATCATAAGATAAACCGATTTTCCCAGAATTCTGTGTGAGCTACACCAATGAACATTTAAAATCTGAGTTTGTAAGGTACAAAGTATAGAAGATGAACTTTAGACTTTAGAAAGTCCTATTATAGTTTTAAGAAGCATTTCATTTACCCTTAAAGCTCAGAAAAGCATGCTGACAAATTACTATAAAATTTTTGGTTTACTTTTCCTGTCATGGTCAAATATCACACTAAGATTTACTTAAAACAGTCTTGAAGTGTTTTTTTTTTTTTTTTTTTTTTTTTTTTTGAAATAGGCTATGTGGAAGAATGTATCACAGTCTGATTTAAGCTATTTATATTTTTCTGTCCTAAACTTTTCATAATGTTAATCCAATAAGAGTTGCATCTCATAAGGTTCTCATACCATCTACATACCAGGTTTATGACTGTATTATTTTACCATATGCCATCTCTCTTTACAACCAAACATAACAAAGTGGAACTACTCAATCAACATTACCTGTAGAAGTGTGGGAGGACTATTCCTTGCTTGAAATGCTTATAGACACAGTATTTCAGATTCCAGATTTTTAGCAGACTTTGGAGTACATATAGATATTATAAGGTGTCTGGAAATAGAGTCCAAATGTAAAAGCAAAATTCTTTTGGGATAGATATCCATTTAACCTGTAGATATTTTATATATGCACCTCCGTTCTGACTGGGACATCTCTAATAGAGCACATGTGGTATTTTCATACTGTGGTGGTTGTACTAACACTAAAATGTGTCTGACTTATCATTTTATATTTAAATTTTTATAATAGGCATGCTTCCCTCCTCCCTGTATATCCACCTGCTCTTCCCCATCTAATCAATGGAATGGATTATAGCAATATACTTCCTAGACATGCCTCTGTCTACAGCTAGCTGCCCTGGCTTTGACTGCACTCTCACACTACACCACAACCCCTGTCTTACTCATCACTCTATTGCACCTGGCTCAGGGGAGAAGAGCATTTATTTCAAATCAATTCAGCAAGTGAATGAATGTGCCTACCCAAGCCATCAAATGTCTAGTGCAGTCTCAGATTAGTTAAGCAAATGGAGAAGTTGGAAATCTATTGTTCACTTGTCTCTGTGTCAGGACAATGACTAATAATTGTCTTCTTTAGTCTAGTACTAAGAAAGCAAAAGTGGAAATGAACACGAACCGTAAGAATGATTCTCCAGAGAAAAGTCAGACAGCAAAAGACCAATCCTTGGCTGTGGCAGGGAAGGGGGTTGGATGGAGTATTTTATATGCCTTACTAACCCACAGCAGAAGTCTGCCTTTCTAGGATGGATGAGGTTGGGAAAAAGAGATTTCATCCAGCGACTTTCTGAGAAAAACACAGGAACAACTACAGTGCCCAAGGAGATCAAGGAGAATTATAGAGGGAAATGATGTTCTATTGTGCTTTAAATGGTATTGCCGAGACATTATCTATAGCCACAGGACTTAGTCTCAGGACTTCAGAGATGAGACAGGAGGATCGGGACATTTGGAGGTCAACTTACTTTGCTATTTTATAAAATAGAGAGAATTGTGATGCTCTTTATATCACAGACACTCACGTGCACACACACACACACACACACACACACACACACATTCCTAATGCTATTTAAGAGAGGCAGATAAATGATATAGTTCTCTTGAAAATAATTTTTGATGCTGAAGTGATATTTTTTCAACCCTGCCTGAATTGAAGGCTGAAAGGTTTGGAAAAGATTTTACTCAGGTTTGAACCTTCTAATCAGGGCACAAAGAAGCAAAGAAGGTAATATGGAAAGACTTGCTCATTTCTTTTATTGACACAGCTTCCACAGGATCCAAGACACTCCCATACACAGAGAAAACACTAAACTTCTACAGAAGTTTAGATGAAACTATATGCATCTCCTTTTATGTATGTCTCTTCATGCACAGCCAGGTGAGATTTTTAGAAATACACTTTCTAGTGACTCCTTCAAGCACAGAACAGCACAATTTTGTACTTGATAATCCCTTTCCTTGTACTTGGTATTTTGAAATGAATTCTGAAAACTAATTCCTAATCTTACCTGGTTTCAACTTGACCTCTAAATAGTAATATATTGTTCTTGGGAGGAAATGGTTTCTTTTTTCTTACATTTACATTTTATTGATTCTTTGTAGATTTCACATCATGCATCCTGATCGTACTCATCTCCCTGCCCCCTCATCTCTGCCCTCTGCCCTTGAGACCTTCCCCCCAAACAAAACAGAACTCATAATTATAGCCCAAACAAAAAACAAATAAAAACATCCCCCCCTCAAAGAAAAAGAAAAAAAAAATCTCAGTGTGGAAGTTGTAGTGTGGGTCAGGGAATCACAGAGTATACTCCTTAGTCGTTCCAATGGATTGTTGGTATGGCTTGAGGCCTCCAGTTTCTACTCCTCTCTAGATACTAAGCATGAGTTGGGGTGTCTTAGGGTTTTTATTGCTGTGATGTAGGTGGGAGGAACTGAACTTGGGTCCTCTGGATGAGCACTCCTAATTGCTGACTCTTCTCTACAGGCCTGGGAATATTTGTTTGATTATGATATTTTAAGAATATGTAAGTTATTCCCAAGAAAAATGCAAAGCAAAGTTAGCTACTTATATCTAAGAGTAATGTTCTTTATTCCTAGGGCCCTCACCTCCACATACCTGTAGGTTTCCTCACCTTGACTGCCGGAGCTCAGGATCTTCCTTCTTGTCAGGTTATAACTTAATTTCACTTTTTCTGTTCCTCAGTTACCTCAGATGATGCTCATTCTGTGGATTTTGGCTTTCGGGTTGATATTGAAGAAAAAGGATTCTACACAGAGAATTTCCATTCAACAGCATGGGTTTTCAGAGGTGATGATGGGAATCCTGAAGACAGCCCCAGGTGTCTTAGTAAAAAGCCAAGACCAGTAGCTGGTAAGGACTTTCAAATTACAGCAAGATGCATATGCCTTAGAAACATCATAGCTAGAGCCTCTTTAGTTGCCAGCCATAAATACCGAAGAATATGGGTAGTTGATATGAATTTAAGAATCTGATAGCCAGGCAGCACATCTTTAATCCCAGCACTTGGAAGACAGAGGCAGGCAGATCTCTGTGAGTTCAAGGAAAGCCTGGTCTACAGAGTGAATTCCAAAACAGACTCCAAAACTACACAGAGAAACCTTGTCTAGAGAGGAAAAAAGAAAAGAAAAGAAAAAGAAGAATCTTGAAACTATTAAAATGAAAACTATTTTAAGAGATATTCCTGAAAACACAAATGGTACCGGGTGGGGTGGTTTGAAAGAAAATGGCCGCCAAAGGGAGCGGCACTAAAAGGAGGTGTGGCTTTGTTGAAGTGTGCAGCCTTGTTGGAGGAAGTGTGTCACTGTGGAGGCAGGCTTTGAGGTCTCATATATGCTCAAGCCATTCGCAGTGTCTCACTTCACTTCCTGTTGCCTGAAAGATGTAGAACTCCCAGCTACCTCTCTAGTACCATGTCTGCCTGCATGCTTCCATGTCCCACCATGACAATGGACTGAACCTCTAAAACTGTAAGCCACAACCTCAATTAAATGTTTTATTTTATAACAGTTTGCGATAGTCATAGTGTCTCTTCACGGCAATAGAAATCTTAACTAAGCCAGAAGACTCAATTGTACTGTCTGTTTTTGTGTGTCAACTTGACACAAGCTAAAGTCATCAGAAAGGAAGGAGCCTCAGCTGAGGAAATGCCTCCATGAGATCCAGCTGTAAGGCATTTTCTCAATTAATGATAAGCAAGAGAGGGCCCAGCCCACTGTGAGTGGTTCCATCCCTGGGCTGATAATCTTAGGTTCTATAAGACAGCAGCCTGAGCAAGCCATGGGAAGGAAACCAGTAAGCAACACTCCATGGCCTCTGCATCAGCTCCTGTCTCCAGAAACCTGACCTGTTTGAGTTCCTGTGCTGACTTTGTTCAGTGGTGAATAGTGATGTGGAAGTGTAAGCCAATAAACCCTTTCCTCCCCAACTTCCTTTATTGTCATGATGCTTTGTCGCAGCCATAGGAACCCTAACTAAGACACCAGGGATTAACATGACAATGTGGGTGGGGGGAATCTCACAGCACCTCCACTCCTAGATGAAAAATTATAGGTAATTAAAGGTTGATAACAGGAGAATCAATCTTCTTCATGGGCAAACCCACAGATAGGCCATATAATTCCAAATGGATAGACCTAAACATGTATAAGTATGAATGGCACTAAATGAATGAATCCAGAAGATTGTATTTATGTGTGTGTGTGTGTGTGTGTGTGTGTGTGTGTGTGTGTGTGTAACAATAATAACTGAAGAATAAGAGACCATGAATTTTTAGGAGGTGTTGGGGGGAGTGGGGGCAAGTTGAATGGAGGAGAGAGAGGGGGTAAATTATGTAAATATCTACTGTATAAAATTCTCAAAATATAAAAAAAGAGCTATTGCTTCAGAACAGTAGTTCCAGATTTGAAGTAAAAACTAATGTAAGCTGAGGATAATGGTACATGCCTGAAATCCTGCATGCAGGAAGGGGAAGCATGATTATTGTGGCCCCAGAAATGACTCAGTAGCATGCACACTGTTCTTGCTGATGGCTGGTGTCAGGTTCCCAGCAGCCCTGTTGGAAAGCTCATCTGTAACTCCAGATGCAGGGGACTCAAAAGCCTCTGGCCTCCATAGGCACCTGTGTACACATGCACATATCCCAGCAAAAAACACAGGTATATGCATAATTGAAAATAGTGAAAGTACTATTTATTAAAAAAGAATTCAAAATCAGCCCACAGTACATGAGTGTATACTCAGTCTGAGGTCCATAAAACCTGCCCCACAAGAGAATATTAAATGTGACAACAAATCTTACAGGAAGTCTTCTTACTAAAAGGAAATAAAATAAATCAGAAAAATTACAAGATCCATGATGAAGATCCAAGAGTGATCTTAAAAACATAAAAGTTTCAATATATAATTTTTATCCAAGTTGTGACATTATGAAAGAACCCCAGACTTAAAGTGGGAGCCTCAGGGCTCCTCACTGATGGATTCCAGGCACCTACAATGGACCTGTCTCATCTTAGAAAAGCAAGACACACTTCTGAATGAATGAATAAAAGACTGTTAAGTAGAGTACTGCCTAACTCACCAGCCACGGAACTTTACGAAAGATGCTCGTTGCTCTTCTTCTGGCTGATGTATAGAACCATAAAACTTGAAATTATGGACATAAAAATCAAAATCAGCCATTTTTATACATCTTGGCTATTTCTGTCCCTCGCTTTATTTTGTGTAGAATAATATATTCACATAAATATATTTGTATATTCATGTGAAAATTACACACAATTTAATCACACAGCACATTTACCAAATAAACAACTATTTTTGACTATCTTTCCCCCCCCCCCCGGAATCTGCTACATAGTAATAAGTAAAACACAGCTATTCCTCTCATAAGTGTAGTGTAAACCATGATATAGAAGGTCTGAAAGGAATGTGAAATTACTATAATGTTTAGTGTGTTCCCAGTTATCAAACGACAAGAATTTTCCTTAATGTGCTACCTTTGTATTGGTCAAAGAAAAAAATGGAACTGCTTCCCTATATATTATATAGAAAACATTATCTATATTATATATCATAGACATTATATGACATTATATAAGATTATATATAATATAATGTGTGTTATCATGGTTGTATATTATAATATATAATCCATGTGACATATCTTCTTGCACACACATACACATGCATACATAGGCTTATATGTATGTGCATATATGAATGTGTATGAAATCTGTTTACATTCTTTAAGTGAGCACTATAAAGCCTTTTAGCACACTGAACATCAAACTGAAACTGTCCTACTTGTTTGCTTGTTACGAAGATTTCAAGTGTTATTTATGCTAGGATGCATGTCTTCTTGACAGAGTAGCAATGAGAGATCAAGAAGAGAATGTAAACATTAGGAAAGTGGGCCACAGGCAAGTGGACAATTTTCAACTAAAATATTTTAATAACCTAGTAATACTTCAAAATTACTGTAATGATAATTTACATGGGTTAGGGTTTTTGTTTTTTTTTTTTTTTGAAAAATAAATTTCGTACTTGTAAAATGAAACTCAACCCCTGATTTCCTAGAATTTCTGAGTTGCAAAATAGTCTAACAAGGTGATCTCTCCCTGCAAAGATGTATTGCTGCAGCCACCGAAGAATGTAGGGTGATGGGCTGGAGAGATGGTTAGGCCATTAAAGGCTAGGTTCACAACCAAAATATAAAAAATAGGGTGTTTTTGTGTGTGAGTTTTGTTATTTTTATGGAAATATTTGCCCTTTATTTGGATTTTTACAACCAACAATATGATGCTAAGGAAGTGTTGTCTAGAGGGATAAATTACTTGACGACACAGCCTCAGTCTGTGAAACAACAATGACATTCATTTGTGGCTTCTCAGCAGCAGCTGTGTGGCACTTATAGATTATTCACCAGACAGTGCCATGGGAAAGCAAGACGATAAATCTTAAAATATGAGAAAATTGTGTTCAGAATGGGAGAGGAACACGTTATAAACATGTGGATTGTGCCCTCCCACAGGAGAGTTCTTCAGCTCAGTTCACCCTTTAAAGACGTTATTGAAATGTTTATTCTTCCATACATGTTGTTGACATTCAGTTTGCTTGACTGAAAAACCAAAACTACAGAAACATGACCTTGAAAGCAAGTTATTTTAATAGTCTCACGAAATATAAAAACAAAACAACAAATGTGATTTGATTTAATTCAGCACATAAAAATCTTCCATTAATCAAATATGTGTTGGGTAAATCAATCTGTCAAAAGCAGAGGATAGCATCAAGAGAGTAACCTAGAGGGAACAAGAAACCTTGAACAGTAGAGGGGTTAGAAATCATTGTTATAGCAGTCAGAAATGGATTTCTGCTTTTTCTTTGGTCCTGATTAGCTACCAGCCTATCTCAGAGTGTTGAAATATTAATTCCTAAGTCCTTGAATTTCCCAGTTCTGCCTCTTAAGTTATGAGATCCAATAAGACACTGTCCAAATAGTTATGCCAAGAGAGAATTCCCTTAATGAGTAACAAACTTTCCCAGAGGCACAGAGTAATGCAGAACACAGAACTTTAGAGCTAGAATCCACACCTTCTCAGCAATATTATTATTCTCTTTCCTGTTGAAAAGAGAAGAACAAGTTTCCTTCGGGCATTTTACAAAACAAACATCCCTTCCGGAATCCATATGAAGACACTGTATCCTTCCATCCCCTCCCTGAATAGTGCCACTCTAGGCAACAAGTGTCAAGCACTTGGCTTCAAACAGAAATGATCCTTCTCTGACTCTTCTACAATCCTACTACACAAGAAAGCGCCAGGGAGAAAAGCAGTGCACAGCAAATGTTTACAAATGAATGTCTCCTTCTTGGGACTGCAATGAACCTGTGAAAAGGGATGAAATGTCTCCTTGTTGATATAAGATGCTTGTCTCCCTTATCTGACCAACCAGGTGGTCACAACTGAGCATGCCTGGGCAGAATGCTTTGCCTTCTGCTGTATTTGTTACTTCTCACAAGAAACCTAGTACAAATGTAATGATTCAACTCAGAATCATTGAGGGAAAAATCAAGCAAATCATCTTACAAGCTCTGCAGAGTTTATAATAGTAAGATTTTTGCTAATGTTATAAAATATGCTTGTTGTAATTTTTAAAAGCAGTGTGAAAGAGAAAGATGCCTTGGGACAGAGTTTAAATGGAGGGTATTTGTTTTTTTCATTTTGTTTTGTTTTATTTGTTTTATTTTGGATTTTTTTAGGGTAAGGGATCATAAATAGGGGAAAGAGGAAGTTGGACACTGGCGACTGGCATCCAGGATCATTGGAATGGAAGGAAGACAGGTAGAGAGAGTGACAGAGAGAAACTGATAGAGATAAGAAGGAAAAGAGACAGAAGGATGGGAGGTGGGCAGGGCACTTTTAAAAAGAAAGTAGTGAATGTGCACAGGTGATGCTCTCAGTGGCTGCAGCTGAGGGCATATCCTGTCAGAACCCCAAGGACAGGGCAGTACAGAAGCCTGAATACTAACAATACTCATCTAAGGACATCTGTCCTCCATGTTGAAGATGAGAATCCACAGCAAGTGAAAGGCTAAAAATAACCGACAGTTTTTCACCACCTTCAGGGACAACTTTGTCTATCACCTCAAAGTCTCACGAGTTCCTTTGGCTTCCTACATGCTTTTAATTTTGCCTATAATTTTGTCTGCACATAAATACTCTGAAAGTGCCTTTGGATGTGGACTTTAACATCTCTCCACTTCCACCTGGAGAAAGGTCTGGATCTAAGAAGTAACAAGCAAAAGAAAAAGAAAATGAAGCAACAGGTTGAAAATAGGCAGCAAAATATTTTATCCAGACAATCTATGGCGTTCCTACTGTGTATGGAAAAGAGTCCTATTAAATTCCCACTTTAAGGTGTTAGCTCACCCCTTTTTAATAGCTTGGAATTCTTATAATTGCCTAACATTTTCATAAGTCAAACCACCATTTAGAATCTACTTCTAATATTCTGGAAAGTTATCAATTATACTTTGTTATCATTTACTCTTTACATACTGTTTACAAGTCTCCAAGATAAAAATACCAATTCACAACCTGGAATGATGCTTTTTTTCCCATCTCTGAGGAATAACAACTCCTAACCATTCTGGACAGAGAAGACTGTGATCTGTGAAGCTCTTCTTCATAGTGGGCTTAGAGGGGAAAGTGCCTTGAGGTAGAGAAAGGAGGGTCAATGAATGGATTGATGTTATGAATAAGCTAACATGATTAACAAGCAGAAATTGTAAGGCACACACACTACAGGGAGCATGATACAGAAAAGAAGGTGTGAAGGTAGCAGGAAGAAAAACAAATTATGGGAGGAAAAGTGGGTTGGTAACAGGGCTACAGTAGCTAAACTTAGCTTGATGACATTAAAAATACATGTGCTCCATTCCCCATGGAGGGTTACTCCCTTAGCCTAGAGGCAGGAGGGGGCAGCTAGACCCTACTCCAAATGACTTGACAGGTTTTGATGATCCTTCCTGGAAGACATCACCCTCCCTGTGGAGTGGGGGGGTGGGATGGAAGGGAGGTTGGGGGCAAGGAAGGGAGGCAGGGAGAGAGAGGGAACTGGTCTGTGAAGAGCTTAGGATTCTCCATTGACAATGTCACCAAATCTAACAGTTCCATTTTCTTCAAAACCAATTGTTCTTGTATTTTTTTGAGTGAGTCAGGTCTTTTACCTTTCTTGGCTTCTTGTAAATGAGCTTGTGTATACTATGTTTCAGTTTTCTTGTTTTCCATGAATAATGTTGTAATAAATTCTATTATTTAAAGATCTAAGTAACTCGGGGTTTCAAGACCTGTCTGCTGTTTGGGTAGCTATGACAGGGTGGTTAAGGATCCCCCCCTGAGGGAGGGGATGTCTGATGGGAATATGAGGGATCAAGAAGGCCCAGTTGGGGGAGGGACAGAAGAGGAGAGAAATTAAAGAGTTATCTTGATAGAGGGAGTCATTTGGGGGGTTAGGGAGAAATGTGGTGCTCAGGAAATTCCCAAGAATTCACAAGGTTGATCCCAACTAAGACTCCTAGTAATGGTAGAGAGGATTCCTGAAACTGCCTTCCCCTGTAATCAGATTAATGTCTACCCTAATTGTCATCATCGTACCTAAGGTTTAATGCTGCCTAACAGTACTAAGCTTTATTTTCTTAACATGCATACGTAGCCTATCTATATTTCTATATTCTCTTCTCTAAACATTAATCATCATCTGTTGTGAAGGTTAAAATAGATGACATTGCATGAAAATGTAACAATAAAACAAGAATTTAGTATAATTAATGCATTCTATTGTCTAGTATTGCTTGGAGCCTTTCTATTGGACCTGACATGTAACCAACAAGCGAACACACCACTTTTACAGTGCTATGAGAGTGTGCAGCACTGAATGTCAATGCAAAGTAATGAATTCTTTGCTTTCTTGCAGTTCGAGAGCGAACTGTGAGGCTATTCAAAGGAACTGGAGATTACCCCTGGGGATTCCGGATTCAGTTCTCCAAACCAATCGTGGTAACTGAAGTGGATACCAGTAAGTACTCTCATGACAAGTTTAATTCATACCAGAACAGTCCTCTCAACCCTGTCAAAATGTACGAGATAACCTACTCTCCCTCCATTTGTAATGTGCAGTAGAAGCAACTTCTAAGAGTGGTGACAAACAACATTGAGAAGTACTCGTACCATGACCACATATTATTTTAAAGTCCAGGCTTTCTGTATGAAATGCACTCTCTGATAAAGACAGAGGGCAACTGTTTCTCGGTATGCAAAGAAGTCTGGGAGTTCTATTTGCACTGAATTATTTCTATTATGCCTCCTCTTGTATGCCTCCTTGTGAAGTTTTGCTCTTAATTAAAATATTACATCATCCCTTTCCTCCATTGAACTCCTCCCATGCCCTCCCCCAACTTCCTCTCTAATTCCTGGTCTTTTATTTCTTTGATTATTATTGCTACAAATGTTAATACATATATGCAATCTGTTGATTCCACTTTGTGTTGCTTTTACACGCATGTTTTCAGGACTAACTGTTAGGTGTTGGATAATGAATTCAAGGGCTCTTTTCTGAAGAAGACTAATTCTCTATTTCTCAACAGTCATCAGTTGCCTATAGCTCTTCATCTATGGGTGGGAGCCTTGTGAGATTACTTCCATGCATGTTGTGATGTCTACTAGTATTGGAGATGTTCAGATCTTATCGCAGCAGCCATATTTTCATAGCTTATTTGTCATATCTAGAAGACTCACCAGACTTCCTGATACCTGGTTCTTACAACCTTTCCATCCCTTCTTCTTCAACGTTTCCTGAGCCTTGTATGTAGGAGTCATATTATAGAAGTATCAAATGCATCCTTATTTTAAGTACCAATGGGGTGCCATGTTTTGGATATCTATTTCGCTCATGAGTGTTTACAAAAAAATAATTTAAGTTTCTTATAATTTCAGAGTATAAATTAATTAATTTTCATTTATGTTTAAAAACCATGTTGTATACCAGGTATGAAAATGGCCACACTCATTATAAAAGACTACTCTGAGCAAAGTATTTTATATTTGTTCTCCATATATATATACACATTTGTGTATATACATATGAACTTAAAACTTGATATGATCATGATCATTTTACGAATGCTCAAAGTCATTGCACAACTTTGCCTATGTTTTTATGTCTGTAGGCACCAAAATTCAAGTCTTAGAATTTCAAGCTGCTTAACCAGAGTTTCTTCAGTTAGTACACAATCAAACACCTGACCCAAAGTGATTTAAACAATGGAGCAAATGGCATGACTCACGGAGCTGAAGGTTCTCAGATAGTGATAGTTCTAAGACCGGTTCTAAGATGGGCTTGTTTCAGTGATGCGATCATTTCATCCCAAGCATGACTTGTTCCATTCTTGTCATTGTCATTGCAAGCTTCCACTTGGACCTAAATAATCTCAGCAACTCTGACTTTCCTATCGCAAATCACAGGGGCAGAGAAAGAGGACAAAGCTTGCAATCTAAAATAACTTCTTATTGAAGTAGAAAGAACCACTTTTAATCGGTATCTTTTGAGGTGGGAAGATCCACCTGTAATCTGGGTCACACCTACTGGCAGCCTGTATAAAAGACACAAGAAGGAAGCTAGCTCTTTTTGCTTGCTTGCCCTCTCTCTTTCTCTTTCTCTCTCTCTTCACACACACATACACACACACACACACACACACACACGAATATATACATGAATGAATGCAATATTATGTATGATAAATGAACACACAAATATAACATATACATGCACACATACATACATACATATGGGAGTAGGACTAAGACTTTTAATATCTGGGCAGACCAGAAAGTAAATGAGAGGTGAGAGTTGAAGTTTAGCTGCTTGATATCTATCAATCATCTATCTATCTATCTATATCTCTTTGCTTCCTTCCTTTCCTCTTTCCTTCCTCCCCCCACCCCCGCCTTTTTTTTAACTCAATTTGAGACCCAAGCCAATGGATGGAATAGTATTACACACATTCATCTAAAATCTATATTCTTCCTATATGTTCTGTTCCTCTAGAGGATGCTGACCAATAAAGGCAGGAAAGGCATGACAGAGCCCATGGTGGCAGGGAAAGCATGATACAGTCTATGGAGGCAGGGAAGGCCATGCTACAGGCCAAGGTGGCTGGGAAGGTGTAAGAGTGGCCTTGGTGGTGGCTGAGAAGTTTTGATAGAGGCTATGATGACAGGAGTATGGGACTAAGGGTTCTCGTATCTGGGCAGAGCAGTAAGCAATGCAAGATGAGAGTTGATGCTCTCTCTCTCTTTCTCTCTCTCTCTTCTCTCCTTCCTCCCATCCCTCTCTCCCTTCTCTCCCCCTTCTCCATTTTATTCAATTTGAGACCCAAACCAGTGGGCAGAATAGTACTGCACACCTTCATCTAAACCCCAGCGGTGTGTCTCCTTGGAGAGTCTAGTCAATTTAATCATGAGAACTCACCATCACAGAGTTAATTTCTGGTATCTTTGTAACTATTCAATTGTGATGGTTAACTATATCTTTGTCATTCTAATACAAAACAAGTAACTCTGTGTGCTCTGCAGGGAACTTTAATTCAGTAGACCCTAAGGTGTTTTGCAATAAGAGAACTGAAACGTCTTTTCTGTCACAGAGAAGCGACAATACATAGTTAACCCAGGATTTTATTCAACATCAGAAAGTGCTGCCCTGGCAGGGTTTCGCCTAACTGCTGAGTGTATTCTCTCATTTTTTTTCTTAAATGTATTTCTCTGTGCTGAGAGTCCCTCTGAAATCCATTGTCTACTCAAATCTACTAAATGAGGGGTTGAGGGACTTTAAAATTACACATATTTTCAGCCCTTCTGAGAATCTTATTCATACTATAAAACATTGTTCTGGATGCAGTGGAGAGGCTTAATTACACACTAACGATAAAAAAGATAAAGAGAAGAGACCTGTAGGTGGGGTGGAAATGATTATCTGTAAGTATACAGAGTGTGAGCTTGCTTGGCACTTATGCAGCTAATTGCCCACACCCGGCTGGCATCTGCATGAACGGTTTCTGTGAAAGCCTAAGTGCCTGTGAGATCTGTTGGCATAAACAAAAGAAACAGATGTTTCAACTCCGATAGCAAGCAAACTCAGAAAGAAAACTATACATTTAAGATAGGATAAGCAAGGGAGGAAATGGTAAAGAAGCCCACGTTGTTTCTGAAGCTCCAGAATTTAAAACGCTACTGTTAAGAGTACAAATTTCAAAGTGAAAAGTACATGCTCTTTTTCTAAGTGGAAGCTTTCCAGAATCTGTGTTATATGTAGATATGCATGAAAGCATGGAGCATATTCTCATGTAGCTTTCCCTAATAAACTTAAAAGTGTATGGATTTGGATGGAACTTAAATTTAGAAAACCACAGCCTTATTTTCCTAGTACCCCATACCTTCCTGAGCAATTTATGTTGAATACTTCTGCACCAAGACCAGAGTCAGCATGTGTGTGGTGTGTTATCAAGTCACCTTGAACTATCTTTGTCCTCAGTGAAGCTCTTGTATTGCAACTCCCAGCATCATTAGGAGATAATGATGCTGTAAGATGCATGGCAGTCCAGACTACTACAACCAGTGCCCACTATTTAAAATTAAAAGCAGTTCCATGAGCCAGCCACAAGAGCGGCAAACCATAATAATACCCTACCAACAGTTTTTCTACTAGGTATTATACCAGTACTATGCATCATACAATGTAAAAAGAATAGAGGCTACGTGTAGATATTTTACCTGAAGAAGACAAATAATAAATAAACGAATCGACAGTGTTCAACATCAGTACTCACCAGAGAGAGGAAAACAACAGATGTACTAATGTTGCTCATGAGTATGATTATAATAAAATGCCAGATAATAAATGCTACCAAGAACACAAAGGAATTCAGAATACCACACTCATGCAAAAAATACAGTAAAAACATCAAGTTGTATAATCAGAATAGAACTACCTTCGTAGTGACAGAGTCATTATGTAAAAAACTATTTTACTTAGAAAACCTACTATTAAACATGTACTTGGTTTTAGATTTTGTAGTGTTTATTTTCTGATCTAGTTAGTCATTTAACATAATGGTTAGCATAATTCTCAAATTCCTTCTACTTCCTTATTCTCCCAAAAGCTTTAGATAGTCCTAATTTTTTGAATGTCTTGAACAGAATAAGATTTGTGATTATGTGATTAGAGTCCTTTTTTATGGCCTCAATATAGAACTATTGATATGATATTGTCTTCATCTCTCTTTCTCTGTACCCATGTGTTCACATGCATGTGCGTGCACGCGTGCGTGTGTGTATGTGTCTGTGTGTGTGTAATCGTGAAAGCACATATGTTCTCATGAATGTCAATATCACATGCCTTCCTCACTTGCTTTCCATCTTACACTTTGAGACAAGTCTCTGCATGAACCTTGAGTTCACTGATTTGGACAGACTGACCCACTTGAAGTCATTTCCTGTGTGTGTCTATCCCCGACGCTGAGATTACAGCTATATACTGACTACTGCTGAGCCTAACTTTTTAGACAAATGCTGGGGATCCCAGATCAGGTCTGCAGGTTGTACTTTTCCAGCTAAGCCTTCCCTGTCTTCGTTGTGATCACTATTGACAATATTTTAAAGATCTATCTGCTTTCATTTTTGTTTTTTTCTTTGTCCATCCCCCTTTCTCTCTCTTACTAATAGTAATTGTTCTTTGAGTTTATCTTAAATGCTCTATATTTCTCTCCTAACATTATCTGAGTTATGAATCTGTTCGTTGGTTCTGTCTCAAAGCTATGCTTCAAATCCTCTCTCCTGTTTTCCCGGCTTGACCCCTGGGCCTCGCTCATTCTGGACAAGCAGTCTACCACTGTGCTTCCTCTCTCTCCTCAAACATACTTTTCATTCATCCCAAAGGACATTTAAGATACTATGCTCCATGGCCATTTCAGGGTATCTAAAAGCAAACACGTATTTAACCAGTGTTTTTCCTTTCATATATCAGAGAGTATTCTGAATACAGAAAATACCACAATATACGAATGACAAATTTTAATTGCTGGTAGAACATGTTTATTTTTTATTAATAATAGGAAGACAAGTATCCAAATGAATTCCGAAGAGCATTTAGGATCATGTGACATACTGTTAGGCTACCATAATCTCTAGAGTTATGTTATAGGCTTGCATAAATTCTATAATAATATCGATGCTGATCTGTTTAACTCAATCCCTCTCTACTCTAAATTAATCTTCCTAACACCTAAAGTATAGGACAATGTACATGTTTTATGCTTGTGATATTTTGTGTCTCTCTAACCTCAGAGGATCCAGTACAAACTCTGCATCTTCACCTAAAACACCCGCTCTCCTTTGGCTGTCTCCCTTATGTTATCACCAAGGTCAAAGCCCCCTGACTCACAGCCTCTATGCGAGCTGACTTGATTCAGTAACTTTGGGGATTTAGAAAGTAAGCATACCTTTACTCAGAATACTCACTGTTTTGGGTGTGTTGGTATTTTGAATAATATGCATTATTCAATAAAATGCAATAAAAATATGCATTTTTCAAGGCAAACAAAATGAGAGGTTGTTAGTCATGGTAGAAGTCTAATGTAGATGTTCTTAGTTGGAGATAGCTTTATCTCACATAATGGTTCATGATCTGGGTTCCATTTTACTTATGAATCTTTCAACCCCTTGGACCCTGAAGTCACTGGTACCTGTCAGAGAAATGAAAAGGGGAGTAGGAAAGGGGGGCCCTCCTGTATATTCAGGGTGTAGGTCTAAAAATGGAATACCACTTCTGTTCACATTCCAGTGACGAGGACTTTTTCAGATTGCAGGCCCAATTGCAAAAGAATCTGAGGACTGACCAACTGTGAGTCCAGACAGCAGAGGAGTTAGGTTTATATCAACCTAGCAGTCCCCGTCACTCTGGCCTCCCTAATATTCATGAAACATAACTCAATTTCTCATTAGTATCAGACCATAGTCTCCTTTATCTTCAAATTATTTTATAATTACCCCAAATTAAAGTAAGAATTTCATTTTCCAAAATCACAGCTCAGACTCTTTTTATAATTTGTTTTATATCTGTCACTTGCTATACTACAAGTGTAATTTTCTTTTTTAGTTATGTTTCTCATTTCATTACCAGTAAAATTGAAGGTCTTTGATGAAAACCTATAGCATATCATTTTTATTGCTTCATTTATTTATTCAATTTGTGTTTGTTGAATGACTTCTAACCTGTAAGACAATAGCTGGAGTTATGGGGAAAGTAGAAAATGATAAGAAACATCACTGTATCTATGTTGTTATTTGTAATGTCATAAACAAATTCTCTAAGCCCTTTAAGACAGTAGAATACTGTATTCATTGCAAATGAGTCAAATAATCAACAATGCCATGAGATGTACTATTACTCCTAGCGAAAGAGTATATAAGTAAAAGGGACTATCAAAGATTGTTTCTTACCCCTTTCTGAATTGAAGTAGAAATGTAGAAATGAGTTATTAATTAGAGACCTCCCTACCATTATGAACAGATTTAAATAAACTGTAGTCATTAATGAAAACATATACATCATGTTACCCTCAAAAACTGAGTCACATTTTAAAAGTAACATTCTTGGCAAGGTATTGTAGTACCTACCTTTAACCCAAGCACTGTGGAGGTAGAAACAGGCAGATCTCTGTGAGCTCAAGTCCAGCCTTGTCTACAGAGGGAGTTCTGGGACAGCCAGGACTACACAGAGAAACTCCATTATAAAGAACCAAAACTTAAAAAAGTAAGAAGATAGATAACATTCTCTGGGGGGGGGGGGGGTGGAGAGATGGATTGGTGCGTAGGAACTCTGGATGCTGTTTCAGATGACGCTGGCTTGATTCCCAGCACCCAGATGCTGCTGACTTACAACCGTCTATAACTCCAGTTCCAGATCTGATACCCTCTTCTGATCTCTGCAGACACAGGGCTTCCACTGGGTAGACAGACATACATGAACACAAAACATCCAGGTGTATAAAAACAGTAAAATAAAATAAAATGTTAAAAGTACATGAATATTGTTTGAGGTCAGTGACGTCCTACATACTAAAAACTTGCTATTGCTCACACTTCTCTGTGAGCTCATGAACAGCAAGTATGTACCAGCAAGCACATCAAAGAGAGAGGAAAGGGGTTTAAATGGACGAAGAAATAAGAAGTAGGTTCAACTGCTTGCTGTAGGAAGAATATTACCCAAATCTATAAGAGGCCATATTTCTCAAAATAAATTAACCTTGAATCGGTACACTGGTTTTTAACTTGCAGAAAATATGGTCATGCTGCATAAATGAATGTAGTAGAAATCCAAGGGACAAAGTATCCAGTGGGAAGGGCCTCCAGTCTTGACAGCTAAGGACCATAAATTCGAGGCTATTTTCAGTTTCCTACCTGAAAAGGAGCCTAAATAATGCAAGGAAAAGCAGTCTTTCATTCTTCCTTTTGTCACATCCCCCCCCCCAACTACTCCAAGATATCTGTTTTTGCCACAACTTCATAAGTATTTCAATTCCTTGTTCCCTGAGCAGTCCTGCAGCGAGGCTCTGCCCCCAGCCCCCTTTTTATAGATGAAGATATTGAGGTTAAGTGATTTTTCTCAGGGTTACAAAGAGACCTCACAGCAATGGGGAATGAGAACTACTAGTTCAACCTCCTAGCAGATGAATAGATTGAGTTTCAGAGCAGCGTTGCTATTGTATTGCAAAGGAGCCACTCAAATGCCTGGCTGAATGTGTAAGTCTTAGAAATGAAAGGGAGGCCACAAGGAGCGCGTTTTCTTTCTCATTAATGACATAAGCAATTGTCTAAAGTTGGAACGAAAGGCCCTAAAGAAAAAGAGTCTTTTTTTTTTTCAAAGTACAAACAGCAGGACACTCAATTTGGGACCCTCTTTCAAGGAGACTGTTGTCTGTCTACTTACAGACAGTGCTGCCGAGGAAGCTGGACTCCAGATTGGAGACGTGGTGCTGTCTGTCAATGGCACCGAGGTCACCAGTGTTGAGCATGCAGAAGCTGTGCACCTTGCAAAGAAAGGTAAGTGGTCCAGCTACAGACTCCAGAGTTTACCAAAAACGCTGAGGGCTCAATACGCAGGAAGTTCCAATGTGAGAATGTGGCAGAGGTAGAGGGAGGCCATTAATGCACTGTGACCAATGTCTTGCTTTACCCTAGTAATTAAACCCTACTTCTAAACAATACACACTTTGTACTGATCATCACCCATAAAATATTTTGTCAGTAAGCAAAATACACTCTACTACCGTAAACTTTCTTTAATTAAGAATCAAAACTATTTCAATCATAAGAATTTGTTTACTTTTTTTTTATTTCTCCTCTTCATTTTCTCATTTGTTAACTAAGAAAGTTTGTAGAGGTAAAATTTTAGGTTTTTATTGTGGGGTGTGTGTGTGTGTGTGTGGGGAGAGAGAGAGAGAGAGAGAGAGAGAGAGAGAGAGAGAGAGAGAGAGAGAGAGAGAGAGAGAGAGGTCACAGGTCTGAAACTTTTAGAGATTCTGTTAGAGCCACGTGAGGCCTGCGTGTCAAGCAGTTCCGACACCAATGGACCACAGCAGGAGTGGTGATGCTCCAATCCCCTGCATCCTTCCATCCATCCACAGTAAGTCTGTGGAGAGATAAATGCTGCTGTTCTCTATCAAAAACAATTTTCTTCAACACCATGTTCGAAGCAGTTAAAGTCTCATAGATAAACACATTCAACTAGAAAATGCTTGGTTCTGTCATGGGATTATGTGATGTGGTACCTTATTCCTGGAAGTGATATGGATGCTGTGATGCGCCCGAGTCATTATTAGACAATGAGATATTACTTAAAATGTGCATTTAGAAGAAGCCTCGGGTGCCCTGGCATATGACATTTTTCTTTGGGTTTACCGAGAGCTCAGAGTTCTCACCTACAGACTAACATTTGAAAACTACCTACAAGTGCATTCTACTTAACTATTCTGAATTGTTTTCAGGTAGAATTTGGCTTGGTAATTTATTGCTCTGTAAGATGTGTACTGGGTATGCCAGGAATGCAAGGTCATTATCAGTTAGCATGTGTAATCGCTCTCAAAGGTCTTACTCTAATAGTTACCCTTTGTGAAGCACAGCTCAGAAATGCAGAGTTTATTATCATAATTACAATAGTAAGTTGATAGTATAAGACATGTGTTATTCGTTACTTTTGTACCTAGCTCTTCTCAAAGATAATTCTTTGTAATCCACATTTTTTAATTTTTTTTATTATTTATTTTTTTCTTATTTTACATATCAATCCCAGTTTCCTCTCCCTTCCTATCTTCCTCCCTCCTTCCCTGCCTCCCATGCCCCCACCCCATCCACCCTCCCATCCCATTTCCCCCCACACACACTCCACAGGGAAGGTGATACCTTCCAGGAGAGATCAACAAAATCTGTCTAGTCATTTGGAGTGGGGACTAGGCCCTCCCTCCTGCCTCTAGGTTAAGGGAGTGTCCTTCCATTGGGAATGTGCTCCCAAAGTCCTTTTGTGCACCAGGGATACAACTTGGTTCCACTGTCAGAGGTCCCTTAGACTGCCCAGGCCTTCTAACTGAGACCCATGTTCAGGGGATCTGAGTCAGTCCAATGCTGGTTTCCCAGCTGTAAGTCTGGAGGTCAGGTCAGCTGTCTTTGTGGGTTTCTCCAGCCTGGTCTTATCCCCATTTTCTTATTAATCCTCCCTCTCTGCATCTGGATTTCAGTTCAGGTCAGTATTTAGCTGTGGGTGTCTGCTTCTGTTTTCATCAGCTACTAGATGAGGGCTCCATGATGGTGGATAAGTTAGTCATCAATCTCATTATCAGGTAAGGGCATTCAAGGTAGCCTCTCCACCTTGGGGTCATCCTTGTAGGTCTCTGAACATTTCTCTAGAGTCATTTTTCTCTTCAAACCTACAATGGCTCCCTCTTTTATGGCATCTCTCTCTCTCTCTTTTTTTCCTTCCCTGACTCAGTCTTCCTAGTCCCACATGCTTTGCTCTCCTCCCCTTCTCTTTCTCCTAGCTTCTTCTCCACTCACTTCCCCCTCCACTCCCAATATGCTCAATATGCTCAGTAGATCTTGTTCCTTTCCCCTTCTGTGAGGGACCTTGTATGAATCTCTTGGATTTCTCCTTGTATTCTAGTTTCTCTCGTGGTATGACTCATAGGCTGATGATCCTTTGCTCTGTGTCGAAAATCCACATATGAGTGAGTACATACCTCTTTTTGTGACTGGGTTACCTCATTAAGGATAGTTTCTTCAAGTGCCATCCACTTGCCTGCAAATTTCAAGATTCCATTATTCTTTTCTGCAGAGTAGTATTCCTTTGTGTAGATGTGCCATATCTTCTTTATTCATTCTTAAGTTGAGGGGAATCCAGGTTCTTGCTATTACAAATAATGCTGCTATGAACATAGTTGAGCACGTGTCTTTGTTGCATGGATGTGGATCATTTGGTATATGCCTAAGAGGGGAATTGCTGGGTCCTGTGGTAGACTGATTCCCATTTTTCTGAGGAACCCCCATACTGATCTCCAAAATAGCTATACAAGTTTGCACTCCCACCAGAAGTGGAGGAGTGTTCCCCTTTCTCCACATCCTCTCCAGCATAAGTTGTCATTGGTGTTTCTAATTTTAGCCATAATCCACACTTTTGTGATAAATATTTTACTAATACTTTTATTCCTAGTGGTTTCTTTATTTTGCTCCAAAAAGCCAAATGTTGTTTATAACACTTCACCATTCCTGGAAATTAAAGAAAAACATAGAACATCTTTAAAACTTGAATGATAAAATGGTGACTTAACATTGACAGTAGGAGAAAGTGACTTGAACATCCTAGCTGGAGCTCATTGCTCATGGGAGTTTAGCAGAACGGGTTATACTCTGTTATAATCTGGGCTCAACCTTAACTTCTCTCTCCTAGAAAAAAAAAATTATACCCCTTGTCTTTGACAGTCCTCAAACTCAACACTAGAGATTCTGTCAAAGCAGAAAGGCAAATTATGAATCTACGATATCAAAGAATAATACAGAAAGGGACATAAAAAGATGATGTCATGTTTGTACTTGTTACAGGGTGGAAATTACATTAAATAGCAAAGGCTCAGTATCTCATGTGAGAAAAGGGCTGGGGGTCGAATATTTGTTATTGATTTGTTATACATGTGCTCCTGGAAAGTCTCATTCTACTTCACTGTCACTGAATACTAGAAAGTTGACAGCACTTATGATGGGCAGTCAATGATCTGTGCTCACATGGATTGAGACATAGATCATTCCATGTTCATGGATGATGTCCTGCATATACTTAGGGGAAGTTGGCAATAGCACAGATTTTAACTCAGAAAGAGTGAAGTCTCTGATAGAATAGTTGGGAGATTCTCTGAGGTTCTTGGTCATCTACCAAAATAAACAAGATATACATAGCAGCTGTAGCAAAATGCACTGCCCTGAGGAGTAGCACCTTGCTCACCAGGAGGAATGCTAAAGACAGCTTCAGCTTTAAACTCGCTCCAGTGCATACTTTCCAAAGACATTTTTAGCAATCCCCAAGCAAAAGATGTTATCTAGTTGAAATAATAAAGAATCTGGGAAACAGGGCAGGAAAAGAATGTCAAAGTAAGAATAATCTGTAATATGCAAGGTAGAATGAATACATCTGAGAGCAGATGCTTAAAATGTAAAAGAAGATCAATACACATCACTGAATTGGTCAAGGAGGACATTTACAGGTTATGAAACAGAAAAGTGGTTGTAACGAAGAGCCAGTTGTCGGTGCGAAGAATAAAGAAGACAAATGTTGAAAGAAAGCAGTATGTGAACTGAATAATAAAGTAGACACAATGGAAAGATCTTAGGTGATCCAAGCTAGTGCATAAACCCTCCCAGAAAGTATCAGGGAGAAAGAAAGGACGGAAGGAGAGAAAGAAAGACAAAATTCAGGCAGACATAAAAACAGTTAAACGCAAAGAAGAAAACCAGAAGAACAACATAAAACTATCTTAATCAGGCATTTCTGAGAGAAAAAAATACATGAAAAGGAAAAATTGGTGTGTGTGTGTGTGTGTGTGTGTGTGTGTGTGTGTGTGTGTGTGTGTGTGATGGTTGTGTGCTTGTGTATGTGGAGATCAACATCAGGTGTCATTCCAAGGATGCTCTCCAGCTTGTTTTGTGAGCTAGGGTCTCTCGGGGGCATGAAATTCACTGACCCGGGAGGTTGACTAGCCAATGAGCCCAAGACCCTTGCTCCTCCCTTTTGCTTCTCTAGTGCTGGGATTGTAAGCACCTGCTACCATGCCTAACTTTTAAAATACAGTTTCTGGGGATCAACTCATATCATTATGCTTGCATAGCAAGCACTTTAGCAACCAAACTATCACCGAAGTCCACAAAGAAAATTATTAGGAACAGAACAAAACAAGATGTTTCCAGGATCAATCAGAAAATGTTTACATCATCAAAGAGATGGGCACAAAAACTCTTAGGCAAGTGGACTATAGTGAAGCTCAAGAACAGGAAAGAGAAAGCAAAAACTATTTAACCTGCAGGAAGGCAACATTGCATCTCCTCTAAAGGAATCAAAGTGCAATCAGACTTTGTAACAACACCAGATTCTAGAGTAACATCCTCAAAATATGAGAGGACCTCAGATGCAATCTTCAGGTAAAGGATTATTTGATGTAAGGACACTGCAAAGGGTTATTGGAGTTCATGACTTTAGAAAGATTTTATCAAGGAATCTCAAATGAGGCACTTTGCCAAAAAGAAATCTAAAACACAAAAGTTTTATACTAAGCATGACGTGCTGGTGCAAGGAAATAGTTTAAAATTCCCTACTAACTCTTTTACCCCTACTTTGAGCAAAAGAATTGCTTAATAGCATTCAGTGTATTTGAATAATTTTAATGTCCCAAACACAGAGAAAAAAAAACATCAGTTTTCCTTTCATCTCTGATAAAGGCTACTTAACTATGTAGCTTTTTATTGCTATGACAAAATATTTTAGGTAGCAAGCCTACAAGGAGGGA